GCTGTACTGCTTGTCCTCAATACATGCCCGGTCTTTTTCCGTCAGGTAATATGGGAGATATGTAGTCGCAGTATTGCTGGCAGCGCGACCCCTTCTGGCGTCCTCGCTACCCTTCATGGCCCGGTCCGAAAGCACCGCTGCCAAGCAAGCTGGACTTCTGGGTGGGCGTCCAGGGCCCACACGTTATCTGATTGGTGAGAGCCGTGGCAATATCGAGACTCATCGGCGCGCGGGCGAAGGTGGACGTCAACGCCTCCGCCTGCGACTGCAGCAAGACCTCCCTCGGGAGACCACCTGCTGCTGCCTGGGCTGGCAAGGCCATGCATGTGCCCCTCCCGCGCCTGCCCCAAGCCCTGAAAACTGTTCAAACCCACACCCTGATCTTGAAAGAGCCTGCTTTTGTTCATGGGTCCAGGACCACCGCGAACCTCCAACAAAACATCAAACGAGCCCGTGCTGAACCAGCGCCCCAAACCCGAACCCACACCTCAGACCCTCTCACCTGCAAGCACACGGGCGCGGGCGGATACGCGGCCCTGCCCGCCTGCGCTTCCACAGACTGGAGCCGCTGCTGGAAGATGGGGGTCAGGCGCCGCACCTCGAACGGCACGGCCATGGCAACCCACGGCATGCGCGGGTGACGGCAGGCGGCGAGCAGCTGCTGACACAGCGAACCGGCCAAGCTATAGAACCCACGGCGTCGGCAACACGTCTGGACGACATGAACGTGAAGGAGCGGCCGACGTGCCACCGCCCATGGCAGAAGGAGACCCTGACACAGCAGATCGGTGCTCCTGATGGGGGCCCCCGGGCGGGGCCCGGGAGGCCGGCCAGAGGCTCAGCGGGCCACGGAACACAGCCTCGCTGTTTGTGGAGCTTGGCCCAATGCACGCCTCGCCACACATTGCCCAGAGGTTGGGCTGCCACTTGAGCGCATCAGCTCGCAGAGATCATGCGTCCGAGGTGGCCTCGAATCCTTCAGACGTTGCCGCCGTCGGTTCTCCCAATGGGGAGAACGGACCGTCGTCCGTTCTCCGAGGGTGGAGAATGAACAAACGTCCCTCAAGATCGCTTGTCCGTTTTCCCCCCTCGGAGAACGGACGAAGGTCCGTTCTCCCCATCGGGAGAACGGACGACGGTCAGTGCGCATTTCACCCACTTGAGATCATCTTCAGCTGTTGAATGGATGGAGAGACGGTGGGCAGCTGGAGATATTTGAATCGATTACCCTGCATGTGGAGAGTGGGAGAAGGCATTAGTAGACGGATCGTAGGCAGGGTGAGGAGGTACGTGAGGATCACGGTGATTAAGGGTTGGGGATTTGGGGGGATGAGAGCAAACCGGTGTGAGCGGACATGAACCCTTTTTAAGAGCTTCAACTTGATGATCGTATGCCCCCCTGGCCTCCCCAACAGAGTGCACTGAAACGTATGTACCAAACGATGGTTTCGTTTTTCGTTTTCACTGGTAGCCGTCCGAGACCCGACCCCGCGTAGCGTTTGGCGGCAAATTGAATAGGCGACGCCAACCGTCTCGCAATCCGCAGTGCGAGACACCCAGAGGAAGGCACGCGCCAGCCGAAATTCAATGCAAAGCCAGTGCGTTGAACAGCGCACGTATGACGAGGAGCGAGATGAGGATGAGGATCGATATGATGACGAGGAGGGCTAGGAGGACGGGGAGTACGAGATGGAGGAGGGCGAGGGGGAGGATGAGGAAGAGGACGGCGATGACGACGACAAGGGGATGCGGAGGAGCTAGATCAGGCAGCAGCATGGGCCGCCTGAGCAAAACCAGCGCCGACTCACGAGCTCGCCGAGTCGTTCCCCGACGCTACCTAAGTAAGCCTGCAGGCGTCACTGGTTCATCAGGAGACTCAGGAGGCATGTGGTGCTCATCCCTGGACCCCTCGAGCTCAGCTGCAATCTTGTCACTATTGTCCTGGTCGTCGCCACGATCGGGCAACTTGATGGACTTCTGCTTCTCCATTCAATCGGAGCCAGTGAACTTCGCCACCAGCGACCTGCGATGAGCCACCCAGCGAACGTTCGGCGCCGACATGGTGGGGACGAACGACTCATCGCGAGTGCTCGCTGGGTCCATGGTGAGGGTGTCCACGTTCGAGGTCGTCATCTCCACGTGGAGCTTGCTGGTGAGATGCGCGGCCGCCAACACACGAACGGGAACCTAATCGCCAGTAGCTGCAATCTTCACGGTGATCACGACCGACTTGGGCATCTCGTCGACCACGCCGGCTCGGCGAGACCGCTTCGCATTCGACTCGAGATGCGATGGCTCGTCTTGCTTTCCCATCGGGTCGGCGCTGGCCCTCTCGTGCGCCACAATCAACTCATGGGTGGCCTCCTCCAGCAACCGCTTCAACTCATTAAACATACGTTGGTCGAACAGCTTCGAACATTTGTGGCTATTTTTCCCCAACACCATGTACGTGCGATCCTGCTCCACGACAGGTGCAGTGTAGCAGCCTGCTGACGCGTTGGACGCGTCCTCGCGAGGTGCCAAATGCGCGCGCAGCCTGGGGTGATGGTGGACAGTGAGCTGAATGCTGGGCTTGAGCCAAAATGGTTACGTAGACCTCGGGGCTCCAGTTTCACGGTTTAGGTTTGGTTTACGGGCCCCTGCACGCGGCATTTAATTTGCTCGTGGATTCGTCTTTCTCTTCGTATGTGGGAAACTCCGGCAGTATAGCAGCGTCCGAGGGATGGAGGAGAAAGGGGGGTGGGCGGGAAGAGGAAGAAGTGATAGGAGGAGGGGAAAAGGAAAGGAGGAGGAAGGAAGGGGGACGGGAGGAGGAAGCGAGGAGGGGAGAAGGAATGTAGAAGAAAGGGAGGAGGAAAGGAAGAGGGAGAGGAGAGGAAGGGAGGAGGAAGGGGGGATGAACATGGCCCTTTGAAGACGCCTTGTTCGCCGATGGCGGACCCGTTGTCCCTCAATGGTCTCTTGAGGGTCTCTGGAGGACCCCTTGTCCCTCAAGAGTCCCGTGAGGGCCCCTTGAGGACCTCTCGAGGACCCGCGTGTTGTGGTTGTCGTTGTTCTGCGCGTGCGTGCGCGAGCGTGTGCGTGCGTGCGCGAGCGTGTGTGTGTGTGTGCGTGTGTGTGTGTGTGTGTGTGTGTGTGTGTGTGTGTGTGTGCGTGCATGTATGCGTGCGTGTGTGTATGCGTGGGTGTGTACGCACGTGCGCGCTCACAGATTTCGCGCGACACTCGAGGCGCTCTCTGCGCCCATCGGTCTCTGATGTCGCACACGAGGCAGGGATCGGTCCACCAAGCACACACGTGGCACTTGGCTATCGTGACGCGTTCGCGTCAACGACGCAGTGCATGGAAACCCCATGTCGAGGTTATGAGGGGGGGCAGCGGAGCACGAGGGTAGCAAGAGCGAGCAAGAAAAGTCTGAGGCCGCGGAGGACATGGGGCGAATCCATTTTGTGAGGCTGAAGGGGGGGGTGGGGGACGATGAGGAGGACCGAGAGGTCCCAGTTCTGGCCCGTTGCTGCACCGACGATCTCGCGAAGTATCGCACCCGTTCTGTGACGTGCGCGGCCTCTTGCGGACAGTCGCTGCGCCCTTGAGAAGCAGCGCGTCCCCCTTGCAGCGACGGCCTTCGAGCTCACCGAGGTCGGCGCGCTCACCACAACGGCGTCGGGGCGTTGCGTCTCGGCCCGGACGGCACATCGCAACCGCACAGGCGGCACGACTGATGTTTGCCTCCTCCTCCTCCTCCTCCTCCTCCTCGTCCTCCTCCTCCTCCTCCTCCTGGTACCGACGCACCAACATAGGACGACGAATGGCGTGACCGATTCCCTGGTGAGGTCGAGCTTTGGAGTCAAAGAGAACCTCCCTTTCACCTGGGTCGACGTCACTGGCTCCGCGCCATTCGGTCGCACTTTCTGTCCAACGCAAACGTGTGGTGACAGAGGGGCCAGCTTGATTTCCCCCGCTGCGTGACCTCTTGAAACCCCGGCCCTTTTTACTTTGGACGCGATCACGTTCAGCGGCGCGCGTTCATGGAGCTTCGCGCAGCACTCTGCGATGGCCAGCGTTACTTGGGCATTGAATGCCTCAATCTGGATGTCCTTGTGCTTCGCGGCGCCGACGACACCTCGGGCCTTGAATATGTTCCTCTCGACCTTTCTTGCGACCGTGTGCTCGTCCACAAGCTGGCTGACCGTCACCGTCGCAACCTGCATGTTCTGTTTCCCTGCGATCTTCGCGACGGACAAGTGGTGTCGGAAAACCTTGTCGCCCAGGATGTCCTTGATGATCGTCTTTATAGACTCGCCGACCTTGCCGACCTTGGTCTGGACCTCCGCGTCGATCACGAACCCCTGGCGCTTCAGGACGGACTCGCCGAGGGACGCACTGCCCGCGGAAGTCGAATACTCCAGGATCACGTCACCACTCGCTGGTTGCGTATCCTCATCATCGGCAGCTCTCTCACGGGCGCATTTGAACGGAACATTCACCTGCCAAGCGCGTGGGAATATAGCGTGTAGATCCTCCAGGAATTTGTCAGATATCTGCTGTAATTTCTTGTTCTCGACCCTGGTTTTCGCCGTCTTTCCGTGCGCAAGCATTGTCATTCACACGTCGAGCCAACCAATCAGCCTGGTCACGTCGTTGCTGGATGTGATCTGCAGGTGCATGAAGCCCGTAGACGCGCTAACGGCAATGTAGGTAACGGCGATGTAGGTTTCGGCATTGTAGGTGGGAGCGGTTCGTGGCCAAACCAATCGTAGGACATCGTGGTTCGTGCTTTCCTGCAATTCGCTGCGCCGTTTTCGCTCGAACTGTAGGAAAGTGTGGTTCGTGATTTCCTACCATTTGTTCTGTGCGAGCTCGGTGTCACAGACATCGGATTCCCAACATCGCCGTTGGCGCGGCCTTGGAAAGCCTGGTGCAACCCATCGCGCTCTCTGGGTCGGCGGGCGGGGGGGCTGGCGCGCGTGACTGCAGTCACTTGCGCCATCACCGCCCGCCGGCCCAGGGAACGCGAGGGCGGGCAGCGGGTTTCGCGCGCCCTGGGCCTCGGCGTCGCGCAACAACTGTCTGCAGAACTTTTGGATCTGGGCGCCCGCGAGGGCCTTCACCTTGACCTGGCCCGACGCGAGCTGCGTCATGTCCTGGCCATTAAGCATCCGCGCAACTGCATCCTTGACGAAGGCGGCTGGAGCACAGAGCGACGCTTTCAGGCATCTCGCTATCCACTCAGGTCCCTCGGTCATTTCAGCTTTTGCCAAAATCTCAACGTAGTTGACCCAGCGTCTTTGTGTTTGTCGCGAAGTGTTTTTCGAAGTCTACGACATATTGGATCAACGCTGGTGTCTGGCCCCCCCCCAAAGTTTTTGATGCACTCGCACACTGGCAGGACGCAGTTCTTCAGGCGAGTGCGACTCCTCTCGGTGCTCGACGTCGGGCCAGCGAGCCACTTTGTGGATCCTGATGCTGTTCATGGCAACCTCGGGGCGACCAGCACACGAACGTGGATAAAGGGCCAACGCCCTGCTGGTCAGAAGCAGTTGAGCCTCCTCGAGGCCCCGACGTTTTCCCCCGACCCCCATGAGTCCCATGGGCGTCAACAAACACATTGGATACAGACATTCCCGTTTTTCCCCAATCAGTGCTTGCACTGGCGGGGTCCTAGCGGAAATTGAAAGATTTGGCGAATGTTTCCCGTCGATTTTGGTAGCCGGCTGGGTTCCCAGGTTCCCGGTTCCAGGTTCCCGGGTTTCTGCAGGAACTTGGCCGATCCTACGGACAAAAATAACAGCGTCCAATTAGTAGGATATCCAATTTCTAGGACCAAAGATATCTATGCATCCTCCCTTTGCTACGGACAAGTCGGGTAGGATCTTGCATCCAATCGGCCCGGAACCAATAACCATGGGTATTGGTACCGGGCCGCTTTCGGTGGGTTCTGGGTTCCCGGGTTCTGGGTTGATCTCCTTTATCGAAAAGCATCCATTGATTGGGGTTTTTCTTTGGTGTAGTTTTGTCCAAAGATGGCCGTGATGCTGCTAAGGAGGGGCATTTGGGTTGTAATTCGCAGGAGTGCTCAACATTGCTTGTGTAGCTGTAATAACGCTTGCACCTTGATTGCAAACGATGTGCATTACCACATTCAGAGAATCTTGGATGAAAGTTGCCACGTCTTTGATGGCGCCCTCCACTTGCCACCGAATGACGATGGTCTCCAAGCCCTTAGACATAGGCTCCGACTTCGAAGGGCACATAGAAAGCACTCGATCTGTGCTGAGAAACCCATCGGGGCCGCACAAGTCTAGATCTATTCCCTTCGTCCCATGTTGGACGCACCTGAGTAACCTGGTCGTGTGGGATCCCGCTAACGAGCACAGCCGAGCGTTAGGACTTGGTTTCACAATGTAGCCATCTGAGGCGTTGGCAAGAGTCTCATTCCATTCAGGATATTGTTGTCCAAGGGCACCTGGCGGTAGCTCGATACAAATGCACTGACCTACCTCCTTTTGAACCCAACCACTTCATGCGATGATACTCAATCGAGTGCGATGGTCATCGCATTCCAAGCCAACTCCCCATCGGTTGTCTGGATGTGGGATAATAGAATATGGTTCGCAAGTCTGTCTTAATGCTAACTCGGTGGATAAGTGTAGACCAACAACCTTCAAACATTCAGCCTTCTGGTCTTTTTTCATTATCATCGCTAACCCTGTAATTGTTCACGACCGACTGGATGTCGGTCTTTTCTTTGCCCAACCTTGATTGAAGTTCTGCCGGCAATAGCTCCATGACAGAAGCGTATGAAGGGATGAGTCCGATATCCGGAACCGCTTCGCGCCTGGTCGAACACAAATGGCTATGGAGGACATCGCGAATCGTCACGTTTCCCTCAAGGTTCGACTTATGTTCGGTTTATGTTGCGTGCTTTCACGCATGGGCATGTTCGATGAGTGTTTCCCCCACATCCGAAGTGGGGTTCTTGTTTTCTCTGGGCACCCCCTCGCAAGAACAGGAACACCCCACATCATCATCGCCATCATCATCATCATCACCATCACCATCATCATCACCATCATCATCATACACATCCTCATCATCATCGTCACCATTCAACATCATCGTCATCATCATCCCAGCTCTCACCATCACCGTTATCAATCCATCACCATTTACCAGCACTTACCATCATCATCATCACCATCATCATCACCAGCATCATCATCATTGTCATCGTCACACAGTCCTCACACACATCATCATCATCATCATCCGCATTACCACCGTCATCACCATCATCACCACCATCATCATCACCCCCCCCTACACCCGAACATCATCACGAATATTTTGGGGGTCTCAAGTGGGAGCCTCGTCCGTGAGTGAGTTGTGGGGGAGTCTCAGGCGGGAGCCCCCTTCCTATGGGGCTCGCATCTCATGTTGGTAATCCGAACGGGTCATCCGAACGTTGTAACCGTCGTCTTTTTTGGGCCCCTGAGGCATGAATCTGGAGGTATCAGGCGGGAGCCTCGTCTGTGAGTAAACTGTGAGGAAGTCTCAGGCGGAAGTCCCGTGTCTATGGGATCCGCACTTCATGTTCGAATTCGATCGCCACTTTGGGGCGAGGTTTGAATCCCAAGGAAGTCTCAAGCGTAAGCTTCGTCTGTGAATGAATTGCGAGGAAGTCGCAGGCGGGAGCCCCTTCTTTATGGGGCCCGCACCTCATGTTCGAATCCGAGCGTGTCATCCAAACCTTGAAGCTGTCGTCCTTCTGTGGCACCTGAGGCTTGAATCTTGAGGAAGTCTCGAGCGGGAGCCTCGTTTGCGAGTGAATAGCCAGGACGTCTCAGGTGGGAGCGCCCGTGTCTATGGGGCCCGCACTTCATGTTCGAATCCGAGCGGGTCATCCAAACCTTGTGACTGTCGAGGATTGAACATGGAGGAAGTATCAGGCGGGAGCCTCGTCTGTGAGTGACCTTTAAGGAAGTCCCAGGCGGGAGCCCCTTCTCTATGGGGCCCGCACCCCATGTTCGATTCCGAGCGGGTCATCCAAATTTTGCAACCGTCGTCATTTTTGGGCCCCTGAGGCTTGAATATGGAGGAAGTCTCCAGCGGAAGCTTTGTCGGTGAGCGAATTGTAAGAAAATCTCAGGCGGGAGCCCCCTCTTTAGGGGGCCCGCGCGTCATGTTCGAATCCGAGCGGGTCATCCAAACCTTATAACCGTCGTCATTTTTGGGCCCTTGAGGCTTGAATATGGAGGAAGTTTCAAGCTTTGTCTGTGAGTGAATTGCCAGGAAGTCTCAGGCGGGAGTCCCGTGTCTATGGAGCCCGCAAATCATTTTCGAATCCGAGCGGGTCATCCAAATTTTGTAACCGTGGTGACTTTCGGGCCCCCGATGTTTGAACCTTGAGGAAGTCTGAAGCGGAAGCCTCGTTAATGAGTGAATTGTGAGAGTCTCAAGCGGGAGCGCCTTTTCCCGCCCGCACTTCATGTTAGAATCCGAGGTGGGTCATCGGAGAAATTGTAACTGTCGGTATTTTGGGCTCCTCAGGCCTAGATCTTAAGGCGGGGGCCTTGTCGTGGCGGGAGCCTCCTCGTGAGTGAGGCGGGAGCCTCGTCTGCGGGGCCAGCAGCTCTATGTTCGAATCCATCGACTGCGCCAGAGCGCCAAAGATGCGGACTGGTCGCACGGGCATGTCGGACGACAAGTGGTGGCTGCACCTCTACGTCATGTTCTCCCGCGCCACGTGCATGCGGAACTTTCTGATGCTGCGGCCGCCCGCGCGGGAGTTCCTGGAGCGCGTGCCTCCGGCGTCCCTGCGGAAGGCACTCGAGGAGTTCGACAAGAGAGCGGTGGACTCCAGGGCTGAGGCGGAGCAGCTCGCGGCAGAGCTGGACTTCGTGCTGCCTCCCGCCTGATCGCGGTCGCGCCTAGCTCGGTGTCTGCGGGGTTGTCCCAGCGGCTTGCTTTCGCGCTCCCGCGGCTCGCGGGGTTGTCGCAACGGCCGTTGCCCCGACCGCTTCGCGATTTTGCCATCGGAGAACGCGCCCCCTGCCAAGCACGGCGGCGAGGGCGCCGAGGAAAATCGGCATGCGCGCCCGTGCCGGGACGAAGGAGAGGTGCGCGAAGATAATGGGCGGGATGGAGATGGGGGGGGGGAGAAGGAGGAGGAGGAGGAGGAGGAGGAGGAGGAGGAGGAGGAGGAGGAAGAGGAAGAGGAGGATGATGAGGAGGAGGAGGAAGAGGAGGAGGAGGGGGAGGAGGAGGAGGAGGAGGAAAAGGACGAAGAGGAGGGGGACAAATTTGAAGAGCGGAGGGAGGAGAAGGAGGAGGAATAGGAGGGGGAGGAGGAAGAGGACGAGGATAAGAATTGAAAGGGTCTAGGACGAGAAGGGGGTGATGACGACGACGACGATGATGATGATAATGAGGAGGAGGAGGATGAGGAGAAGGAGCAGGACGCAGAAGCGGGAGGGGAGCCTCCGCCAGTCGAAGAGGAAAAGAGCAAGGGCTATCTAAATATATTCCCATGCGGGGTCCCTCCGTCGGAGTAGTTCTCTCTGGCCCCGACCAGAAATCCGACTCCACAAACTTGAAGCCTGGATCTTGCGTGACGAAAATCTGAGACATGCCAGAGGAAAGCCAAACAAGCCAGGTTCGGATTCGTGAGCAGCTAATCTATTTAACCCTCATTGCCGAAGCTACTTAGCCGACTTCGCTAACCGACCTCGCCATTTAACATACTCCAACTACAAACAAGCGAGCTCAAGAAACGACTTCGCCAAGCTGCCCAAGTGGATCCCGCGCTTACGATAAGCTGGATACTAAGGTACCCTGAGCTGTTGGGGTCGACCCCGAAGTGCTTGCCAGGCGTGTCTTAGCAGGGCTTTCGATCCAGACATCCTCGCAACGTTGGCTCCCGGCGCGCGAGGAGGTCAGGTCCCACCGCGCCACCAATGACCATGTCTGGGGCGCGTGCCAGGGCGCGCCGAGCGTGCAGCGGGGCTCTCGCTCGAGGCATTTTCACAAGGCGCGCAAGGAGGTCAGGCCCTTCGCCTTCCTGCTCCACTCTCATGATCCTCACCCGCGTGACCCTCACTCTCCTGATCCTCCCCGTCGCGATCCTCGCCCTCCTGATCGTCACGCTCGTTCTCCTCTCGATCATTCTCCTTTC